ATAAAAACATGGAACCAGGTCACATTATGCAAAATGAATTGCTTGAAACATCAAAAAATGCTTTTAGGGACAATGGTTTCACTAAGTAATACAGATAAATCCATATATTCTCCATTAAAATACCAACACGACATATAAACTCCATGCGTGTGCATGCACACATTCAGCTGAAGATGTGAAGGTACAATGCTATAACTACTGAGCTACTGGGTCACCTATCATGATGATGATGCATTTGTAGAGGCAGTAAAGTAGAAAAGCTAATTCTGTAGCCGATAGTATGATAATGGTACTCTTTACTAAATTCTTGCTCGTTTGTCTGATCAAGGAGAAAAGCACAATGGAACAGAAACTGTATGGAATGCCATCAGGGTATAAACTAAGACGTGTTTCCAGATAGCATTTTGTACTCTCTAGACAGAGTAAAATGCCCAAGTTTAGGCAGCATAAAAATATGTTTTAAACAGCAATTCTTAAGTGGGCAAGTTTTGAAAGGGTCACGAGGCAGAGTTGGAAATGTAAGCATTTTAAAACCAGCAAGCTCCTATGCTGATTCACGATCAGATTTCCCAGCTCCAATCCGAGAATTAACCTATACAATTGGATCTTGGGTTTGCAACTGCTTAAAACTAGTGAACACTCAACTAATCCAAGAAGCAAAACCACAGATGCTTAATTTAAAATTTACTGGCACATCCAATCAGGTTTGTATGATAGACATCTACGTAAATTGCAGAGTGCGCTGCGTGCTTGATTATAGTGTTAATTTAGACCTATGCTTGATATGGCATTGTAAAAATTGGGAACCACTGGCTTAAAAGACCCATATAGACATGCAGTTTTATACTGAGTCAACATGGTACAAATGTATATGTTAAAAAAGGTCTTTTGGTACTAAGATATACCTAGGCCAATACTTTTCTATTCAAGGGTAAAGGGTTCAGTATGTAATGCATTTTATTTTTTGTCGTATAATAATGTTTAGGCTTTTAATCATAACCATTAAACCTAAAAATCTGTGAAAATTTCAACAAAGAGGTTCATTGTTTTGTCTGATAGGTTGAATTATATGTCTGACTTGGAGCAGGTGAAGCAAAAGCAGCATAGTAGTCGGGCTGGAGCTGGACAATTTCTCACCAGGAGTTCAGGGCCTGGACAGCCCAGTATAAAACGATTTAAACAATCACACTATTATATGTTTCTATTAACGTATCCATTACCTAGGCTATTGTACACACATTCTTACCTACAGGCTTTCATTTTGCGCTCATGTAATTTTTACCGGCACGTTTCACGTTAGTCTGGCCGTTCTCCTCAGGCCTCTTTCATTAATACATTTTCAGACACAGACCTGAACCCTGCTGGCACTCAATGTTTTTGTTCTTCATGCCCTTTTCTGTGAACTCTAGACACTGTACAGCGTGAAATTCGAAATGAAGTGGCTGTTTATGCGGATCTGGAGCCGCCATGTCTAGCGCCAACAATCACGCTCAGATCACACAATGTTGCTGTTGAGGTTTAGCCGCACTGTAACTTGACCTTTAACTTATATATTCATTTGCGGACAACGTGATTCACTGTTGAAGACAAGTTTTGTCCATGAGCAAGTGTAGCTAATCAAGTGGTAACAATGTAAATGTTTTATGCCACTTTGCATCACACTGCTACCTACAGTATGTAAAAAGGAATCACTCAAATAGCTGAACCACATTTAGATGACTGCTTCCAACAGTTACTGACCTGTGTCACACAGTGCTACGGAGCCATGCAGGACTCGTCTTTGGAATTCTCATACCATATTATTGGTGTTTCATGCTATATTTTCATGAAAATATCATGCTATATTTTTTATATTTTCATTATGTATATGCTATATATTCCTGCTGAGAATTTGTTACTTTTTCTACTTCAGCCATTTTTATGTAGGCATACTAGTGTATTTTGGCCCATTGTATTACTATAAAAGCCAGGTACACATTCTCATGGTGTTTAGTAGACAATATGGTTTCATCCATAATGGATATTTCTCCAGATCCTGACACAGAAAGCCCTAAAGCCAAACCCTACCACCACCATGACTGTTGGTATGAGGTTCTTACTGTGGAATGCAGGGTGTGGTTTTCACCAGTCATAACAAAGCAAACAATACTTTCAGCCCTTTTTCCTGCAGATCTTAAGTAATAGAGTATCTGTGTATGTGCTGATGATTTGTGTTTCACAGTAAAAAAAAAAGGTGGTCAGACCTGTATAGCCTAATTGTTTGCAAGTGTTTTGAGCAGCAACTGATACCCACAGATATCTATTTTGGTTAACTGCGAATGGCTTGTCTTTTTTCCCCCACATAGTCACTGCACACCAACTACACACCAAATAAATCACAGAAACAAGTCATTTTTTTCTCTCAGACTTCCTGAATGTACCTCTGCAATTGCCCAAAATGATCTGAGACTTTAACATTTAAAGTACTAAACTGCTGGAAATAGGAGCAAATACATTCTCAATCTGCTTTATATAACCTAGTTCTGATTTATTTTTCGCTCCACTGATTTAACATTCCCGATTTCTTTACACCACAAGTTTCTCCTGCCGAACACTAGAACAGAGAAATGGCAAGAGAACAATGGATTTTAGTCCATAAGAATATGAATACTGTGTGTTAAATTCCGGAGGTTCAAGAAGACAGGGTCACAAAACGGACACATGGAAAGGGTGCAAACCGGCAGACACACCTGAGGTATGATGGTGAGCTTAGACCGAAGGTCATGCAATCCAATTTCAGAAACCTTCACCCCATCAATGGTGATTTCTCCACTGGCTGCTTCTAGCAAGCGGAACAGGCAGAGGGTCATCGAAGATTTCCCCGCTCCTGTTCTTCCCACAATGCCGATCTGAGGTCAAAAGATGGATGCATGTCGAAATGACCATGGTGAAATGCAGCTATAATTATCAATTTAGACACTTTAACCTTTTAAGCTTGAAGTCCTCCAGGTTTTCCCATTCATGCTTCATACGGTCATGATTAATGACTGTAAACAATGAATTTGTGAGTGCAAATATGAGCTTTCTAAGCAGTGTTTGTACAGCTACCCTGCACTATCTACAGCATGCAGGGGCAATTATGTTCTGATGAGGGCCAAATGCGAGTATCACCACATCAGTGGGGGGGTCATTTTTAATGATTATTGTCCCATGAAAGCCACAATAATAGATTGCATTTTCAAAAAAGGGAAAAATATATACAGAAATCAATAAAACCAGTGCATTTTTCATACTTAACATGCATATTTATTATTGCAATCCAATGGAAAAAAAACATGTTTGTGGGAAACGGTCTGTTAGTCTTTATAGAATCAAACTTTTATTATTAATATTATTATTATTGCTTTAATGATCGCGTGAGCCATTATAGACACGGCCCATGTCTGACCTTTAGTGACTGTCTTTGAAAGTCTAACCTGGCAACACTAAAGCCGACTTTGGCAGCTCTACGCTTATTATGTGTCGTATGCCTTTCCATTCCCTTTTCTTCTTCCTAGAACAAGCGAGGCTCACCTTCTCTCCACCCTTAACGCTGAGTGTGAGGTTCCTCAGCACGAGGTCCAGGCCTTCCCGATACCTCACGCTGTAGTCGTGGAACTCCACTTTGCCCGTCTGGGGCCATTCTGCGGGGGGCTTCTTCTCCATTACCTCCCAGGGTGCCTATATAACCATCATATGCCAACACACTACTGTTGGTGAAGCTGCACTGCACATAAGCTGTGGCTCGGATCATGTGACAAAGGGTCATGTGACTGGCACTTTTTCATTACTGCTATTTCTGTTGAAGTTTAATTGTATATATAATGGTCGGTTGTAACCCAAGCTGAAAAGTGTTACATTATTTATAAATAAATGCCTTGCATCCAGACTATGGCAAATATTCTTCTTTAGGGTTTAATTTCGTAAATCAATCATTTATTCACGTATTCACGAAAGGCTGACCCACCTCTGTCTCTGTCTCTGCATACTCCTTGACTCTTTCTACTGCTACAATGTTGCTCTCCAAATCCGAGGACATCCTGACCATCCAGTTCAAAGACATGGTCACCTACCACCAAACAGCGGATATAAAGGGTGGAAACGATGGGCATAATGCACAAAATAAATACTATATTCAGACACAGATGCAAATGTAGAACTAGGCCTGAACGATACTAGATCTCTATTTCCACACGATTATATGGTGTCTCCCAATAATCAGGGCTTTAGATGATGAGTGAAACATTTGTCCAAACGCCAGTTTTTCGGTAGTATACGGATGTTTACTTACGCCCACAATTTAGATTAGTAGTCTGTTTAAAATATTAATGAGATGCATATTGTGACACTCATAAATTAGCTCAGTTAGTGGCGCATGCCACATACTACTGTTAGGGTAAATCATGGAAGCGATAAGCACTGAGGTGGATCTGCCAAATTTATACAGATTACTAATATTTTACCTATACTACTAATCCGCTTACTAAATCATTGGCGTAAGTAAACATCTGTATAGTACCGAAAAATGGTTTTTGGACAAATTCCGCCCATCATCTATAGCCCTGGTGATTATTGCGCATGCGCCCTATAATCGCAACGAAAGCGAGATCTGATATCGTGCAGCCTTACAGAACATACAGAAAGTACGAACCTCTATCTGAACATGCAAACGAGTTTGCATGCTGATCAGTTTTGCTCACCTGCAATGCATAGGAGACAGAAAATCCTACAAGGCCAGGTTCTAAGCTGTTTCTGTCAACCACAGCAAACAGCGCCGCAAACAGCACAATGCAGTTTCCGATAAATTCAATTCGGACACCTAACCATCTGTGTGCATTGAAAACAAGTTAATAATCTTATTCAGAAACACAAGGCAGACATTTTCATCATTCCAGTGACTGCTGACCGTTTAGCTCCACACCAACCTGTTGGCAACAATACCAGGGTAGTAGCTTTTTTGGTTTTCATCCACCTTCATGTCACTTATCTGTATGAAGGCACTGTGTCTCCCAAATGCACGGATCACACTAGTTCCCGTGATGGTTTCAGAAAAGTGAGAGTATATCGGAGACCTACTGACAGACTCCAGCCGCTTTAGCTGCCGCGATGTGGCCACATAAAATCTCTATGGAAGGAAAATATGAAAATTACAATTGAACCATATATTATTACAGGAACATATCAATTGGGGGAGATTCAGAAAACAGCTGCATCTTAATTTAAATCATTTACATTGTGAACTGACCTTATTTGACATGTAGTCATTAAAACTTTGCAAAATGTTTTATGTATCAAACCCCCACACTTTCAAACAATCAGTTATTACATATTATTATATTTTTATGATGGATTTTTTTCCCTCTAAATACCAAACAAAAGTTTCATGTTATTATTACTTAATTCTGTCTTAATGTTGTAGTGTATGGTTTGGGTTTTCGAAATATTTTAACATGTAAGCAATACATTGTTCAGTCATAAATGTAAATAACTAAATATCTTTTAACACTAACAATTATTCAGAATGCCACCCTTTACTACAAAAGGAAAAAAGCCCACAAATAGCGGTTTATGCAATCATGCAAAGATAAAGCATAAAAGGTTAAAGGATTGAAAGAATGAAATGAAAGTGATAAAAGGGTTTGTTAATAGAATGATGTTTTCCATTTATGGGGTGACAGCAAGGATAGAGCGTAGAGGGGTAAAATGGATCCCTGTATATCTTCGTTATTAGAATCCCAAAACCAGAATGACAATGTTCCGACATAATGAACAAGCTTCTAACCTTGTTAGAAGCTTCTATCCACCTGTCTGAATTCTATTCTGATGATCCAGTTGAAGGTGGGATTGCAAATGTAGTATATAAATACATATTTACCAATTGTGATTATCCTGCTCTTGGAGGAAGTTCAGCTGGTTTTGAGTCAGTTATGAAATAGCTTCCAATATATGCATTAGCTGCATCATTAATAGGCTTATTAGATGTTATAGAAACTACTGCCCTTAATAGAAATTAATGGTGGAGCTCCCTTAGACAAAAATTTGTAATTATCATGTTGATCCATTAGAATTACCAAACAAAATCCATAAAAGATTAAATCTTAAACCCTTTGGCGGTACTAAATAAATAAATGAGTAAATAATGATCATATGCAGATTAAAGCCAGCAGATACATATACCTCCTACCTTGATATTTATAAAAACACCTTTTCCAACTGAAGAGCAAATTTCCAAAGCTCACTCAGTCCATTTTTGTTGTATTTGAGATGAAATTGCAAGAGGCCTAAAGCTTGGTCATCATATGTTGGGGCATTTGGGAACCAAACTCACTCATTCCTTGTGCAATCCAATGAAAAGCTTTTGTTAAATTTCCAAAACTACGTCTCCAGAAATTTTCTTGAAAACATCCCATGGACTGAGTGAGTTTTGGAAATTTGCTCTTCAGCTACTGGTCTGTTCTCTTATCCAAAGGCTTTCTACTTATAATCACATTTTTAGTGAATGGATTTCCAAGATCACTACAGAGAAATCGTTCAGTAAATGCCAGAAAGATTGCTACTTAATTAATGAATTTCATTATTGATGAAATGTGATGGGACTGCAGTTCCTACAAGCCAAAGAATGACTGATTGGTTAGCCAAGTAAACAAGAGGAGGCTCTGAACCACTACAGATGACTGCCATGAGAACTGTAAGATATTAGTATCTGATTCAGAAGAAGACAACTTGTTACAGGACAAATGGGTAAAGGTGTTGACTAATCTCCTGTCAGACTAATGAAATAAACCCATATATTCCTCAGAAAGAAATAACTAGCTGATTTGAAAAATCAAAGCAGATAGTAACAAAGAAAAACAAAACTGCCATAAACCCTCCTCAATGGAGCATACTGCTGTTCTTTAGTATCCACCTGCTTGTATACTTTTCATATTTAAATTTTGTGTGAACAAAATCAGTATCATCACATTGATCACAGTAATACTATGGGTCAATCACGACAAAATAATCGATACTGTTTTTGAGAAGGAAAAGACAATGTCCAGTAGCCGTCCCTTTTGTAGAATACAAATGAAGTCACAGATGACTTTTCTGTGACCACAGTCGTTCTCTCGTTATTTTATCAAGCCTGTCCAGGTGGTGCGTTATCAAAGAACAGTCATGAGTAACCAAGGAGTTGCAACTTTACTAAGTTAACGCACTAGCATCTAAATGACCAAACCACACAGCTACTACAACACTAGGACAGCAGTGATAAACTACGACAACACAACACGGGGCATGCTGTATTAATGAGTTAGCCGACAATCCTATTTACCTGGACCCACCAATAGAACAGCATTAACGGCACTATGACTATGAAGAAGATAGGGGTGAGGGCAGAGCATATTAACAGCACGGTTGCTGTGTACCAGAAAGTGCGCATCCAAATATCAATATTCTCTGGAATGAGACAATCTATTGTGTCCACATCTTTGCTGAAGCGGTTCAAAACTCTCCCTGAGGGAGTTGCTTCAAAAAAGGCCTGCGGGGCCCTCAGGATGGCGTGGAGCATGTTGTGGTGGATGACGCGGGCCGCCCTCAGCATGCTGTAGGCCCGGCAGTGTATAGCGATGCCCAGAAGCAGCACACCTGTGTCGTGGCACAACACAACAGAACGGTGGTGTTAATTCACCGGCGGGAGAAACTCGTGTCGAAAAAAGCCGCCGGCTTCTGGTTGGTCTGAGGCACGCAGACGTCCGGGCCACCACCGTGCGAGAGACGCTATAGTTTCCAGAAGGCGGAGTTACAGAACAGAATGTATGCAGTATACACAAGAACAGCAATCTAATGTCAGGCCGTGGAAGAGAGCAGTACCTCTGACTGAAAGGAACTTGTACAACTGTAAGAAGTAGTAGTATCTTTGTGTCCTATCTCGTACATTGACAGTACCTTCTATAACCGATTATTCATGGCAGGGTCTACCGTAGAGAGCAAGGGCCACAAGGGATCATGAATGCACGCGCGCGCGCACACACACACACACACACACACACACACACACACACACACACACACACACACACACACACACACACACACACACATGTAACTCATGTAATCATATCTTTTTGGGGGCCGCTCATTCAATTCTATGGGGAAAAATGCTAATGCTAACTATGACAACCTTAAGCCCTACCCAGCCCTAACCATAACCATAAGTAACCAAACAAAATTTTCGCATTTTTAGGTTCATCATTGCAGTCACAGATTTTTATAAAATAGAGTTTTCCCGTAAGGTAAAAAAATTAATGGATATTCATCACGTTGTGGGGACATTTGCTACCCACAAGGTAAGGTATACCTGGACACACACACACACACACACACACACACTCGGCACGTTGGAGACTCTACGGCAGCTACAACAAATTTTGTGAACTGTGGCATGATACCAGAGTACTGAGAGAAACCAGTGCAAACATAGTTAGAGGCTGTAAATGCGACCCATTGTCACTCCACACTGTCCTTCCCTTTTCCTCTTTCTGAAAAAGGTCAATTCAGGTTAAAAAAAGAAAATATGGAAACAACAAATTTCCACAACAGGCCACCAATAGGGGTCAGCAGAGCACAGCTGTCGCACCATCTGATTCTTAACAAAAGAAAACTGATCATTAATAGCCTATTATTTTAATCTACAACTGTGAAATACAGTGAAAATCCCTGGTCAGTAACAATTCTCTAGTTAATGCTTTCTACCCAGTAAGTTTTGATATTACTACACTTGTATAATACTATCAAGTAACATTTCAGTTTCTAGAAGTTTAATTTGAACAATTCATTTTTAAATTCATTGGAATTAAACATATTTTACTCTAAATCATTTTCAGAGAAGGTTTTGATGAAATTATAAGTCTTAGGCACCAATTTAAGTTCCTAATAAGATAAATTAAAAAAAATGGTTTGGGCAAACAGACTCCTGACCTTCAGAGTCCTACTGGATTGGATACATTACGGCCGGCCTGTGTGCGTGTGAAGATAAACCAGACTGAGAAGGCAGGAAATGGACATGCAGAGGGGGGAGAGGAGGAGAAATGAATCCACTGTAACTGGGAGGCAGGCTAGATGTGGAGGGGGTGGGGGCAGCAGCGAAAACAGGAACATGAAAGCTATGGAAAGTCCCACATTGAAACAGTCCAGAAAATTGGCACAGTGTTCGGACGCATGCATTTTATCACTGTTCCTCTGCTGATAAGGGAAGAAACACAAGCGGACAATGCACATGGGAGGGTTTGTGAGCGTAAAATAATACCTGTACAAAGAAGTAAATGAGAGCCAGGGGCACTATGACCACTGCGAAAATGGGCGTGCTGGAAACGATCACGATCACGGTGGACAGGGAGGCAAAGAACGTGCCCAGGAACATGAGGACAGTGGAGGGCAGCACCTCGTCAATCACGTAAATGTCCTTGGAGAAGCGGTTTATAATGCGGCCTAAGGGGGTGGTGTCAAAGAACGACTGGGGCGTATGAAATTTGTTCTCTAGCAGGGCAGAGTGCAGGTTTCTGGCCGCGCCAATGCCGCCCAAGTTGAGTGTAAAGGATGAAATCGCTACCAGGATGCCTGTGTTAGAGAAACCACAACAACAAACAGGAAAGCGGTGAGAGCACTGCGCTGGGGGGGCAGCTTGTCATAGTCGCGGGCAGTGGGGGTGCACATGTCCAAGGCAATGGTGTCTCCTTTACATTTACAAAGCACCAGAGTTGGGTAATTCAGCTCCAGAGAGTAAGAATCCAGTCCAAGATTTTGTTTCAACCAACCAGTTGAGCATGAAGAGTCACAATCATAGGGTGATCAACTGGGTGGTTGAAACAAAATCCCAGTCTGGACTTTTACTCACTGTACCTGAATTACCCTACTCTGCAAACCGCATATCAGCACCATGGGAATACCGCTACTCATACAAAGTATGCTTCACTGAAAAAGGTTAATAGAAGGAAAACCACTGTCAACACAAGGAGATGCATCAATGAAAACATCTACCTGTAAAGTGACGAAGAACTGAGGATTTACAGAACTGTTCGATGTCAACAGCGCTGCTTGAAGCAGATTTTACCAAAGGGAGTATTAAACACACATGATCATTCTGGTCTCCCTCACTTGCAGGGTTATACGTTGAGCGCGAGTCGGCCTGGGCGTGGCTCGGCCGCTTACCCTGAGAGAGGCCCAGCACTGCGTACACCCCCACCCGCATGTCTCTGGAGGCCTCCGTATTGTTGTTCCGGGCGTCGTTGGTCCACTGGCTCAGCCAGATATTGGCTCCGACGGCAGCAGCGTTCTGGCAGCCATACAGGAAGCAGATGAAAAGGGACAGCAGTGGCCCCACAGCCTTGATGTACTCCAAGAACACCTTTAACTTCACCTGGACATGATGGGGACAGAGGAAGGGGGCAGAGTCAGCATCTAGCTTCATAGCTGCTCTTAGGAAGGCCGTTTTCAGTTGTAACTTAAAACTTTTTTAGCATCATGTCATGCCAAATATACCCTGCACATCACTTACAGTATTATCGTTCAGGTCAGAAAACTATGAAAGACTATCAATATAAAATTGAAGCCAAAAAAAATCTAGCTTAATTAATTTCTTCAGAGACTTAGAAAAGCTCTCCAAAACCCACCCAGCACTTTACATAAAATGTACCCTCATACTATTGTTATTATTCAGCAGCAAAATCACACAAAAGATCCTTGAAGTAAATATTTCAGTTTTTTTTTCCTTTATGTGGTTGAAACCACAGAATAAAGGAGATTATACAGACCAGGAAATATGGTCTTTTGACAAAAACAGTAGCAGATCTTTTTTAACTTAGGAACTTATGCTTGTTGTGTGGAGAGAATAATTGAAGGAAACAGCTCTTATCCTTTTTTAAACAAAAAGCCAAGGAAAGGACAAAGTAAATACTGAAAGGAGAGGGTAGTGTGTGTGCAGTCCACATGTCCTGCTGCCTTTGTGTTTCAAGGTTTACTTTGGAGCACTAGTGCCATACAAAAGCAAACTGCAGATCTTGCACCCCTGACTCTGTAATGTAGCGAGAGGCCTACCCTGCCCGTCTCCGCCGTCTCTGCCTGGATCAGCTTCTCCGCCATCTCCCGCTTCTTTTCTGGAGGAGGCTCCACGTGCTTCCTCTCACTCTGGCGTCGTGTGCGGATGGACATCTTCCTGGTGTTCTCTGAGTCTGTGGATATCACGCTGATCTGCCTGCGGGTGGTAGAAGGAAGAGAAACTATGGAGAGGAATGGAGAAAGAGCTGGCCTGCCCTTTCCACATACTGCAGATGCTGACTAGTTCAACAGGCAGGTACTACTTTGAAACAACTAGTTTTGGAAGCCATTGTTAAGGCATTAGTAGCTGCTTGTACCGTATAAACTGTCTCTTTGCTTCATTGACTGAAGGGGCGCTGTCCACCATATCTATATGGTTGCTCATGGCATCTTCTGGGAAAGATTCCTCATCCTCTTCTATTAGTGCCACTGAAACACATCATGCCTATGTTAGCACTGCTTAGTTATAGTAATTAGGGCAGCACAATTAAATCGTAAAAAAAAAAAAATGATCTCGATTCACACCTCTATGCGATCTCATTTCTAAATTACAACGGTTCTTCTGCATTGTATTAAAAGGGCTCCTGCTTCTCCCCCGAGAGTTTCAAGCATCCCATAATTCTGCATTCTCCTTAAAGGGCCCTTTCCCACCATACCAGGTACCTTACTTTCTTGAAAGTACCAAAAGTTTGGTACTTCAAGTTGTTAGTTTTCCACTGGAGTAAAAACTGGTACCGGCACTGAATGACATCACAGCACAAGGTGGGGGTACTTTATACTGAATTTGAAAAATGTCTGGATATTATCGGGCTGGCCAATGTGCAATATTGATACCAACATCGCATGTTGTGCATGTGCAATTCTTACTTCATCAGTCAGCTAGATTAAGATCAGGCTTTTTCTTACTGTCAGTTCTGTATACGGACATTATAGTGCAAGTTAAGTTTCACTAAAACATTTTCACTCTGTTAATAGGAAAATAACTTTTGCAACGTTGATTGTTATTCCTTTTCAAGATTATCTAGTTTATGTTTAAAAACCAGCTTAAAGTTCACCTCCGCTGCTTTTACATGACCACTGCATGCGTTCTCTGAGATGCTCATAATCATTTTCAACCTTGCCGTTTAAATCACTCCAAGACGGTTTTTTAGAAATTTACATTGAACTCCTTTTTTTGTTTTATAAATACCCCAATATTCATTACAACAAAATCACATTGTAATACTCAGAAATTTTCCAGGACCATGCAGTCCTAGTATATTATACAAAATACGTTATTTTTTATTACACTGTCCTGATATCTGGTTCTTCCGACCAGATCGCAGTTAAAGCTTGGGTCACTTCATTTGTCCACGCATCCATTATTATTATTATTATTATTATTATTATTATTATTATTATTATTATTATTATTATTATTATTATTAGAACTCATTTATTGTTGTTTTCTGAGTTTGCAACAGTTATCAAGACTGCAGTTGTATTGCCTTTCAGAGGCAGGCTATTTACATAAGTGTTCGACAAAGAAAGCGTTTAAAATCCCACCCCAAAGTACCGAAGTACCAAAGAAGTTCCCCCTGGATCTTTTGGTATGACTGTTACCCCTAATTGAACGGCCAATTGGGCGTTTTCTTTCTGTTGTCAAAGTTGATATGCTGGTCCTGGAGCAATCATATGTTTGGTACAGTCATGTTTTGTTGCGTTTAATGAGTGCAATAAACGTTTAAATTTAAGAAAAAAAATAAACTTTACGGAGAATTATATTCTATGGAGCCCAGGAGGAGACATGGGAGAAGAGAAAAAAAAAAGAGATAAATATTTGCGAAATCTCGCAAAACTCTCGCAAAATTCATTAATAACTGTGCTGTGTCCGTTTAAAATACAAAAGATGGATTTTTGCCCAATTTATTGACTAATAAGTATAAACTATTGTCCCCCATAGTTTAATGCATAAAGCACACTTAACAGGACATGTCTGTATCATTTAGGTTTTTATCTATTAGCCCATAAATAAATTCTATCTTTTGTATTTTTAATGGGTACAGCACAGTTAGTATTACAAGATCTCACCTTTGCAAGATCTCGAAAGACTGCTTTTTTTCCCCAAGCAGGGAAAGGTTCAGGTTCTTTTCATGAAAACAGGTCATTCGTTTGGACCTTGGGGCAGCACTGTTACTTATTAAAGCAAAAATAGGTGACTACATTACCTTTATTTGCCAAATACATTAATAATTCACTTAGGGCATTAAAACATTATTTAAAGGGTTAATGTTTAGGCTAAAGACAGAGAGTTACCTAAGGATTCGTCCTCTTCGACGATATCTTCAAGTGCATAGTTCCTAAGAAACTCTGCAAAGGCCCCATTCTCTTTCAGCAGATGCTGGTAGGAGCCCACCTCAGAAACCCTGCCATCCACAATTACCAGGATGTTGTCCACCTGGGGCAAGAAGCTGATGCCATGGGTTACCAGGATTCTCGTCTGCAGGCAACATTCCCAACAGGAAATCATGTCAAAACATTATGTTCTTTACATTTTTTTCTTTACAGGCTCAGCAATTTGTGAAAATACACTCAACAAACCCTAACTAGTCAAGTGTGCATCCTCAGGCCAGCTTATCCTTTGTTAATTGGTTTAAAACAACAAGAAATCTTAATAAATATAGTTAATGTAGAGTTCAAGAAAGACTCCTTCAAAAGACTCCTTCAAACTAACACTGGTTTCCTGCAGAGAAGCACAGTGTACCCCTCTTGAAACTGGTGCTAATTATCATCACCATTACCACTGAGCCATGTTCTCCCATTCAGCCCAGAACTGCTCTAATTTCACCACAACAGCTGACTAAATATCAAGGAAAAACAAAATGTACCCGAAAATGAAATTGCAGATTACTACCAATATGGCCGTCTGAATTCTGGACAGAAGATTGGCATCATTATTATAATTCTGACTCCACCTTGCCACTGAGAGCTCCATCAGGCCCGATGACCTTGTCAAAGATGTGCTTGGCCACGTGCGCATCCACAGCAGACAGGGGGTCATCCAGCAGGTACACGTCCGAGTCGCTGTACAGAGCGCGGGCTAAGCTGACACGCTGCCGCTGCCCACCAGACAGGTTGATGCCCTGAGGTACAAAGCGCCATAAAGTCCTGTAAGCCATCTGGCTTTGGGCACAAGTGAGTTATTGCACCAAAAATGGAGCATTTCCAGTTGGGCTGGAAACCCAAAGCCCACGCCTGGCTTTCCAAACCTTTTCTCCAATTTCTGTCATGTCACCTCCCGGGAGAACCTCTAGGTCAGGCGTCAGCGCACAGGCGTCCAGGACAGAGCGGTACTTTCTCTCATTGTACCCATGGCCAAACAAGATATTATCCCTCAAAGTGGCGTTCTGAATCCAGGCCTGCTGAGGGACGTAGGCCACAGAGCCCTGACATGCAGAAGGGACAGGAAAACATCTCATTAACCCCAACTGGATTTTACCCACCTACAGTACTATACACTAGTGGAAACATGCTGCATTGTGCTTTAAAACATATTACAATAATATTGGCGGTAATGTTTATAAACAAAGAATGTATGATATTTGTAACATCGGACCATTGAGTAAGTAACTGCAGTAAGAGTTGAATAAAGTTCTGCATTCTCTACAAGTTAATGTACATGCTGTAAGAAATACCATGCCCCCTTCCCCCCCCCCCGCCATAAAAAAAAAAATCTGTGACTGATAGATGCCTATACACCAACCCGTATGGATATCTCTCCCTCCAGTTTCTCCATCTCTCCCAGGAGGGCAGACACCAGCGAGGACTTTCCACAGCCCACATGGCCCACCACAGCCAGCAGAGAACCTTGTGGCACCATCAGATTGATACTGGGCACAAAGATTCCCCACGTCAGACTTTAATTTCACATGAATTTCAGGGGGGGTGTACACCTGCCCGAACATGCATGTATGTAATGCAGACATAAGCAGTGTCTGTACAGAGGGGGGGTCACTTTCTCGTGACTTCCTCTGCCTCCAGAAGTACCTACTTGTGAAGGGTTGTGGGATCATTCTTCGCCCAAGAGAATTTCCCATTAACGACAGTCACAGCGAAACCTGAAAATGGATCGTTGTTTTAATTGATTGTTCACCAGTCGCCAAAGAGCTGTTATTTTACACTGGTTTTCCTTTCTTGTAATATGAATGAAGCACCAAAACACTTTGCCACAAAATACATAACAATACAGCTGGGTGGAGATTCTATCGTCAGTTAGTGTATCTTTAAGGAGGTTTTATGGTGCATGCATGAAGGGACAAGGCTGGTTTGCTCAGGGGATCTCAGTAACTGAAGGCCTCAGTTAGGTTCCCTCCGCTCTATGTTTTCTTGCAGCAGGAAACAGGCTGGAACCAGCATAATGTAATAAACACACATAACATAACGTAATAACAATCATGTCATAAAAACTCAGTGTAGTAAATGTAAATTACTACATTATGTGCAAACATGCTATTCCATCACTGGATGAGGATTTTTACATTATCATTATTATGTTACAAGATATTATAATTTTACTATCAGTCATTCAGAAGAGTTACAAGGCTTCAGACCTAAAATGTCTAAACTCATGAGGCAAATGCTATTGTGCTCACAATACTGTAGTATTGGGGTTAAATGGTCTCACACTGTCTTAATAATTACTTCAGTAGTATGACTTAATTACAAAAAAAGGAACTGGGAACTATTTACGGCAACTGGATAAAACAGTCTGCAAGGCTTGTAAAAATAGAAATGAATGTTTAGTTTCGTATCTCATTTAAATGGAAACAGAAGAACTGGGTGTGTGGTAACCAACAAGGAGGAGATACCTGCAAGGAAAACAAAACTATAAATCTGCACATCTACTTTAATTTTTACACAAACTCAGGCTGAGTCAATGTATACATTTTTTATGTCCACATTAGCAACACGGCCAAAAAGACATCGTGGCACTGGGGCGAATTTGATGTGCAAACTCTCGATGAATATGCATCTATAAATTTAGGGAAAGATTTAAACAAAATCCAAAAAAAAGGAATGTGGTTCTGAAAGAATTCAGTCAAGGTTCACTTAGCTCACAGTGACTCTGCAGAAAAGACCAAACCAGTTTTCAGGAACTCGCCAGATAAGGAGCGGGGGGGAGGAGGTGCGGGGGGGAGGAGGTGCGGGGGGGAGGAGGTGCGGGGGGGAAATCGCATGTACCTGCAGTTGTGTTCTTTCTATCCACACTGTCGAGGTCCAACTCATCGTGACTCAGGAAATGCTGAATACGCTTCAGAGAGACGCTGGCCTAGGTCAGACGTGGGAGACATGAATGACACGGTCACAATGACAGAAGTTCTTGGTGACAGAAGTAAATAAACCCACTAATCTCTAAAGAAAATAAAACAACGACATTCCTTCGACTAGGAGCCTTTGTTGAGCATGTGAGCGCAACGTCAGAGTCGGGCTGCCCAAGATGCCGATATCAGCCTGACACAGTAAGCAGTTCACTGGAGAGGCCTCTTAAGTGGAGTCATTAAAAAAACAGCCAAATGGGCTGAACTTAAGCCAGCCACCCCCATTAAACCAGCCACCCCCATTAAACCAGTGGCACTGAAGGTTACTCAATTCCTACACTAGAACCTGGGAGCCTCCTAGCTATCATGGGATTAGCAAACGTCTGTGTTTAAAATGAGTAAAAGGAATTTCTAAAAGAAGACATTTAACATTTGTGTGAAAGTTCCATGTGCCCACAATGAAACAAAGAAAGAAACAAAGCAGCTTAAAAAACGTCTGCTAGATAAAGAAAATGTAGCAACTGACAAAGACATTAGCACTAACATTTCACTAGAAATGTAATTAGTTAATTTAACTTATGTTCTTGGTTTAAAGACTTGAGGATGTGGAAATTTTCTTTGCATAAAATGCTTTAGGGAAAAGAGGAGCAATGAGTGTTAGGGTTGGGGGCAGAGTGTGTTCACCTGCACGACGCTGCTGATGACCTGCGGCAGCATGTTGAGGGGGAACCTCAGGATGTTGAACAAAGCCAGGGACACAAAGGCCTTCTCGGCATCCAGAACATTATTTTTGTCCACCATCACATAAACGGCAAATGTTGTCAAGGCAACCTGAAATCATGCATGAAAAGAAAAAACAGTGTTTCTGTTATTGTCACAAAACAGATTAAAACAGACAGAAAACAAATACCTGGCAATTATTTGGTGCTATCAAGTTGAAGTCGACAATCTGGTAATAACCCTACTTTCTAAATTCAGCATAAAGTTATACTAGAAATTACTTAGTCAAGAACACAGTTTATCAGATTGATTAATGTAAATATGAAAATGAACAAAACTATGCAAATCAGTTTGGGTGGAATGCATCAAACCTTTTAATTTATTCAAGGAAATATCTGCTCAAAAAAAAAAAAAGCTGCTCAAATAGATTATATCCATTGAAATAAAAGAAATAATTCTCACTGCAGTTTGAATTATAATAAATGTTCGATAATTTACTTGTGAATTTAAAACTAGGGTAAATTATTTTGTACATGCCCATTTGCTGTTGAGATCTTATTTCTGGCCCATAACATTGATGAGATTTGAAATTCTCCTGTTTTGTTACCAGTGAGTGCTCTTCATGGTTATGGAATGCAGTTATGGAATTAAAGGTAAATTCATCCCAGCTTCTGGAATAACCATTTTTCTATTCCTTATTTTATGAGCCAACCAAAGGATGCATGTGAAATAAAGCACTATAACTGCTGATGGTCAGAAACTTCTCAAACTCGTGTCTCCATTCTCTAGCCGCACGGATACATGTAGCAGGTGGCAGCTGTGACCTAATGGTTAGCGATGTGCACTAAATCGAAAGAGTGCTGGTCAGCAAAGTACCACTGAGGTACCCTGAGAAAGGTACCGTCCCCAAGCGCCAAATGAGCTGCTCCCTGCTGTCATGATGTCACATACAGGTTAAATGCACAGGGCCCATTTCATTGCTGTGCACTATGTGCTATGGTGTGTCAACGATGACAACTAATCACTTATCCCCTTCCCCACTGAAGACAGATTTATAACTGACAGGAAACTGGATAGGATGGACCATACCAAGGAAGAAAAAACACAGAGGTTGGCTATACCAGGAAAGGAGCACTGGTCCAGGCCACAGTAGACACAGCACCAAGGTAAGCCATCTTGCGCAGCACATGGAGCTCCTTCTGCCGAATATCCAGAACCTTCTCTTTGAAGGAATTCTCCCAGGCGTACAGCTTCAGCACCTTGATGCCATTCAGGATCTCATTCATGAGCTTGATGCGCGAGTCTTTGTACTGCATCTGCTCCACCTGGAATGTGAAAAACATGGTTGGTAGGCAACATATTTCTGTGCCATCCAGGATACCACAGAGCATTTCACGCGAGATGTTGTCAGATGTCATCAAAATTATTGCTACATTACTCATTGTTATGCTACCAGAAATATTACTATAATTCTCACAGAAGCTCTTTGGACACTTGCTTAATTCTGTAAAAATGTTGCAAATTTCTTGGTTTCATAACAAACATCACCACATAGATCTTTTCTTTATATTGTCTTTTTTTGATTGACTCTTTCAGGTGTGTTCTTACCATTGAAACTGCATGTCAATGAACTATTTTAACAGAGCAGCTCTTCTACAAGTATAGTTTGGGTTTCAACTTGTTACTACTTGAAATGAATGTTGTATTTAAAACTACTAGTTGTTTCTAATGTGATATACATTTTTGTAAACAAATTAATAATGTAATGATTTTCGTTAAAAAACAAAAATTAGCATTTTTTTATCGAATTAAGCAAGCATCCCAAGACTTTCTGTGAACACTGTAATTGTTATATTACTAGAAAGTATGGTCTTACATTGGCTTTAAACAGGAAGATAAATAAAATCCATTAAGATCAGATGAACACTGAACTAGCTATAATTAACAACACACTATAAGGATTTAAAATTTGATTAAATTTTAAAAACCTGAAATGCTCTAGTCTTCACGGCAATGGCTGCATTGAGGGGGATCAACAGTATCATCACGGCCACACCAGCGAGGACAGAGGGACCCAAATTCTACTCGGCAAAACAGAATAAGCATGTCAGTGTTCTGTGTCACATTCACATGACTTTTGATGTAATAGCAGAATGAGGCAGGGGCTGAACACGTGAACACAGCAACATCGCAACAGCCCGGTGCTAAAATATTAATAGCTACTGTATAAAGCCATGAATCATTTATTTCCTTTCCATGTTTCAAGGTGCAGTGCTGTATACATTAGAAGATTAGCACTGACAGATAACATGAAGGTAACCTTCTGAGCTGAAGTGAGAAGGAACTATTTTTTATGGCATCAACAGCTGCTATATGTAAGCTAGAGGGAAGCAAGTCAACAAACCTGCCAAAGGAAATACAGGGCGAGAATGATCTGCAGAGGAGCAGACCACAGCATGTTCAGGAAGGTGGTGAGGTCCATGAAGCGCTGAGCATCCACTGACATCAGGTTGACAATCTCTCCTACGGTTGAGGAGCGTTTGGCCGCATTCGTGATCACAAGAGACTAAAGGTAACAAAAAGCGATGAGTTGATACAACAGCCTAAATCTAAGCCTAACTCTCAACAGAAATGCACAGGACTCCAACCTACCATTCTGATCTACCATAAATTAGATTAGATTTAATTACATGAACTTTGTTGATCCCAGAGGGAAATTATTCCCACCTCTATCACTTTTCTTCTCTCTGGCTACATCCTCACTACAGTTTCAGTCCCTAGTTGCCCATAAGCACTTGACAAAGTTCTCCTTCTTTAGATCAATCCCATAAATCACTAGTGAAAGCCAACGGGGTTAGTATTCACCATACCAACAGAATGCCTGCTTCCTCCAGACAGAACAGGGGATGAGGCCTCCTGCTCCCTTGACCTCATCATTCTAATCACTACCTTCTCTGCTGTTAATCTGATTTCACACTAAGGTTGAGTCAATAAGTTTAAACTGGTCACACTCCATTGATATTCTATTGCAATTATCTTTCTTAGGATCTCAAAGATAAACTGCTCCATATTATCTCATTCCTTCACAATACTGCTCACGGGCAGCAGAAGAAATCATGGACCTTTTTCATTTACATAATTTTTACCTGTAACCCAGGAAGTCTAACACTGAAAACGATCTATCCAAGAGGACCTGGTTTCCCACTGCATCATCATCTAAGTTCCTGTTCAGTTCCCCTGTGCTTGTCTCCCTGGCCCTAGAAGATCCTCATTTGATGACACAGCCAAACCCATCTTTCAAAACTGGTCTGGTAACTGGCATCATTATATGAATCATAGCACATAGTACACTACAGAACTGTCATCTTGAATAGTATTGCACGGATGTTGCAATATTTTCAAAGGCATCCAACTAGGACGACATCATGATGCACCTTAGGAGAACTTCACCCCAAAGAGTCTCACCACCCACCCACCTTCCTGTAGATGGCGCCAACGATGGCAGTGCGCAGTCTCATCCCTGTGACAAAGCAGTACTGAAAGTGTTGGTGCAGAATAAGGGTCTGCAGCAGGGCGCAGAAGAACATCAGGAAGGCAAGCGCATATCCCCACCAAGACGGGACGCCCTTCTTCTGATTGCCTATGAAGGAGATCAGCAGGCTGCCAAAAGAAAACCATGAAACGGTTCACCTCTGGGACCCGGGGAGGAAGCACTGCATGTCTGACACTTTACAAACCAAATGAGTTTAACCAAAAGTGCAAATCATCACTGAATTCCTTCTTTATGACAGACCATTCCGGTACTTAGAAGCTACAGCATCACAGTATGCGCATTTATCACATCCATTCAAATGATGTCAGCTTTGGTCAGTCACAAGTTTAAAAAGGGCACTGTCACTTTTGTGATTTGACACTCATATTTTGCATAGCAAAATGTGTATTCCTCTTAAGCAGAAATAGACCAAACCAACATGCAAAAGATACACTAAGCCCTCATCCCCTGTGCTTCAAAATAACTGCCTGCAAAGGCTGGTTTATACTCAACGCTTGCAATGCGTTGGCTTGTACATCGTGGTTGTCAGGCATATCTTGCATTCATTCCATTCGTCGTGTGCACCTACATGTGGAATTACGCGAGATGCAGTACTACCAAAAAAATTTTGGAGCAGTATGTTTACCTTTTGTCATGGGACTATGTGTTTACGTGCAGTACAGTTGGCTTTAAAGTAGCATCTGAATTTTTTTTTTTTGTTGCATGATTGGCCAGAAGATATTGAAATATTTTCAGGGGCAACAGAAAAAAATACTCCAAGCATTATTGTGTAAGTCTGTGTACAGTGTCTTCAAAATGGCAATCTAAGTTTCTTCTGCTTCGCAACTCATTCTGAGCTAAGAAAGCCGTGTTTACAGGTGTTTCATGATGCGCTTTCCCGCTGAAATTCAGGAACCTGGGTCCTCATTTATAAAGAATGTTTGTAAATTCTGGCGAGAGAGGAAATATTTATACGAAACCTCCAAATCGTTTGTATGACTGCTCTGGACCATTTTTAAATGTGCAAACTTTTACAGGGTTCGTTTTGTTTATGTTGTGCCTTTCATAAAAATGAAAATTTTTATTTACATGTGCGTACCAATGTTTCACACCTATTTTGTTTGTATAAAGCCTTTATAAACAAGGGCTCTACTTCCTGCTTCCGAGTTCTTGTGCCGTCTCAACCGGGAACCTTTGTGTGTGTGTGTGTGTGTGTGTGTGTGTATGTGTGTGTATAAATAATAATGTTTTGCTCGTTTTGCTCGTTAGGCAGCTCATGGAGGTTGTCACTGTAAAACATTTCAGGCCACAACCTCATACAAACAAAAAGAGACTGGAAATGAAGAAACCGAATTAGATGATGTCTCACACTGGCCTCTGGTTGACACAACTTTTAATCCTCTAGATTGATGTGAACTACGCACAGAAGTATGAGCAGCAACAGCGCTTGTGTAGTTTAGGCCCTGATTATCAGCATCTGGTGTATTGAATTAGGTCTGCAGGGTGGTAGGCCTCCAGGAGCAGGGTTGGGCCCTGTCTTACAGTCTCATAAAAATGGAACGACAGCGGGAACACTAAAGTTTGGCTTCCTAAGTTGACTGTTCAGCTTACATTCATCTGACTGGAAAATGTGTCATACTGCCCCTGCTCTGTGAGTTAAATCACACAAGCCTGGACGTAATTTTCTATATCAGTAATATCTGTGCTGCGTGCTGTCTGCAACCCATTTCCAGCTCCCACACTGGTCAGAACAGAGAACTTGCTCTCCGCAGTGTCACCCAACCCCAAGAGGTCAGGAAATCCCTCAGCATGGCAAACAGCAGCTAGAATCAGCTGCCTGGCGGCAGTGAAAGGGACTCCCCTGACCGCATGATTCTTACATGGTCACTCATCAGTGTCGCCGCTATTGGAGACCTTATCCTTGCTGACCACCCTAACTGACCTGCTTTGAAGCCACCAGAGAAATTTAAAATGACTTTACATAACCAGTCACAAAAACAAGTTGACTAAAAACGCATAATTTCTTTCAGGTATTACAAATAGTTCTGACTTTTTTTTTTCATAACTTCCCAGACATGTTATGGTTATTTCATTTTTTGGCGTTACTTGTATCTCGTAATGCACAAACATTCCTTCGCTTCACACTGTGCAGCACGGTTGATGATTTAATTCTAGCGGAAAGATTTACTTCAGACTGTAACCTTGCACGTCTGCTGATTCTCAGTTCCTCCCTGCATCATAATAGTGTTCTAAGTGCAATTCCAGCTCTAGATGAGCTCCCCGCCTTACACTGGCTCTTACCTGAGAAGCACGGGATTGATGAAGGTGATGAGGTCCTGCAGCAGCTTGTATGCAGAGCCGATGAGAAAGTAGGGGCCGAACACCTTGAGCAGGCAGCGCAGGAAGGAAGGCTGCTGGGCCTCGCCTTTCTCCATCAGCAGCACCTCTGCCTCCGCTTGGGGTTTGTCAACGTGGTTGGCCTCCGTGGTCAATGGGGACTTGGAGTACGAGGCTTGAGCCTCCCTGTTATGACCAACACAGCAAAAGAAAAACATAAATTAATGCTTTGTTTGTCTATGACCGTAAAGTCTTTATTAAAAGAATTACGTTAAATTAAAAATTTAAAAAATGATCCAAAATGTAACGGTGAGAGCTTGTGTGGCTCAGTGGACGAAGCCTTGGTGCCTGTGATCAGAAGGTCGCCTGTTCCAACCCAGCATCGGCACGTCTGCAGGTCCTCGAGCAAGGCCCTTAACCCCCAGCTCCCTGGGCGCCACAACAGGTGGTTGCCCTTTGTGGCCAGCTTGCTCTCACCCTCAGAGAGCAAGATGGGGGGGGGGGGGGAGAATTTCCCCACAGGGAACAATGAAGTGTCTATTTTTTTTCTTAATAAATACTGTACTGCAACAACACTGGTGCTAAATCAGAAAAAATATACCCTGACAATGGACAGTGGGGGCAGGAATGTTGGATATGCCCACAACAGCATCACACAGAATGTTTGAAAGAAAAAGAAAAACCTAGCTGGCACTACAATGGTGGCAGCTAATATTAGCTAACAGACAGGAATCACACAGTGCCCAGACAAGCCCTTCAGACATACAGCTACCCAGTGTCGATGCCTTTGCCTGCCCTATTATTTCTACACAGATCCCATCCTAGCACTGTGTAGCCTCAGCGAGGAATTCGGCAGTACAGGTCACAGTGGCACCACTGGTCTGGTGTCCCAGAAAATTATAGCCCTGTTATTAAAAGACCTGTTTCACTGCATTTGAGATTTCCTCAATAGTGAGAACTGGCAATACAGTGTTTCACAAATGGCACTAAAAATACCTACACCCAGTATCGTTTTCCAGTAGGTTTCTCAGCAGAACTGCATTAACATTATGAATAAGCACTTTCTGAAGTAATGTTTTTTTTTTAAAACTTGTAAAATGAGATTGCACAATTTCCTGTTCAGCCCAAGGACTGGAAAATGTTATGAATTTCATATTCTTCTACCTGACACCTTATAGAATAGAGAGGAGAGGTTAGGAGCGTGCAGCACGTGACAAACCACCTCAGGGATGGGAACCTGAGTGCAGCTGACGGGCAGGTGATACCTCAGCACCACACGAGCTCGGACGGAATGGAAAAGCGTGAGGTTTTCTCTGGCGGCTGGAGCGCCGAGACCTGAACTACTTTAACATTCCTCATACCTTTGGACTTTGTCCTGCTCCACCTCCCATTCCTTCAGCAGCTTCGGCACGATGACCTCTGAGCTGTCCTGCTTGTTCAGGGACCAAAGGTCTTTGTTCTCCAGCGGATTCTTGTAGCCTTTGATAGCCATACTATAGACAAAAATGGGGTTGTGGATATCAATACATTTTTCTTAATCCTATGACTGTTCTTGTACATCTACTAAAGTAGATGGCCCTACCATACATTTATGCAAGCCTTAAATGTAGTAAATGATGAGTATGTACTGTTAATTGTTGTGTAAAAAGGCATCAATATTTAGTATAATACGATTGCAGCAGGTAACCTGGCATATTCAGTGGTTATGAAATTCATCTCATTTCTCAATACTCGATTAATCTCAATTTTTGAGACAATAACCTTGTAAACCACCAGAAGGTCATGGTTGAGAGGAAGCCAGCTGAGGATTCTGGGCATGGATTCTATTAAAATAAATGAAAATGGTTAATGAGAATATAATGCAATTAGATGTTATGGAGACAATGAGGAAACCTGATTCTACCTTTTAAAGACCAAAGGGTTTCAAAGGCTTAGAAATGAATAACATGAATAGTCATTATATGAGGATATTATACAGAAATTATATTACTCAATATTATATAATGTTAAAGTGCATTTCCAAGTGTGATATTTGAATCGGAAACAACTTTTTTTGGGCCAACAATTGTTTTTTTTAAAGAAGAACTGCAGAATGTTCCATTTGCTGGATGCAGTAGCAGCCACAGTCCTAAAAAGAAGCCCCAGTGTGAATATGCAGTTATGACTTGTTTTGACCCCAGTGTGATTATCCACTGCAGTCAGAAGGTGCATGTTACACTTACGGGGTCCGTGACCACACCGGAGAACAGCGGGGGCTTCTCATTAAAGCAGGATAAAATAAGCTGCACCACAATCAATCCAAAATAAATGTAGAATGTGGTGAATCGCAGCTTGTCCTCAACCGTGTTCTATAAGAAAGGCGAAGAAAAAGAAATTAACCTCTTGTCATAGTTGCTGAAATGAAACCCATGTCAAAGTACCAAATATAATGCTGACAGAGCACTAAATTTTTAACAGACACACACACACAGACACACACACACACATACAAAAAGAACGAGAGACCAGCCACTTAGCATGTGACTAGATCAAATTCTGAAGTGTGACCAAGACTTTTTAAAATACAAAGGACACTCAGGGCATTAGGAAGGCATTCTGTATCACTGCCACAAATATTTTTCCAAAAAGAAAAACATCAGCCCCAGGATCCTAGTACCATGCAAGACTCTTTTTATTGTGCTTATATGACCCCGAAACGTTAGATAAGCTGGCCGCAGGCAGCTCTTTTGAAGAACTCCACCACTATTCTCCCGAAGAAGTGAGACGTCCTCACGCAGACTCCAGTGGAGCCAAGCTCTCTTCACAGAGTAAGAGATGGAGAGAGAAGTAGAGAGCGGACTGAGGGTAGAATAAGGGGGAGGAGGCATGAGGAAAGAGAAAAAGAGACAGCAGCACCTTCAGATGATGAGAGGTATTAAAAAAAAAAAACTCAGAGGAACACATGGTGACATGAACAGTGAAACAGATGAAGACGACAGAGAAAACAATACTTTTTAGTCTTATGAAGTTTTACCTTGAGGGAAATCTGGAGAATCTTGGACCGAAAAGGCACAATGGCACACAAGACGGACAGGAACCAGAAAAGGAAGAGCACCCCAGAGGACTGCACCCCCCTCAGGCGCTCATACTGGATCAAGAAGGTGGCCAGAAGCTGACAGGGAGAGAGGAGGCTGGTGAACATCATAGTACGGCATCATTCACCATACATATGTCCGGGTATATTGCTGTGCTGAGTAAGTTAGTAATCAAACAGTGCACTACCTTACAAGCTGCTGATGATGGGAAAATCAATGATTTATCACAGTGATTATTTATTTAGATTTCACAAGAAAACAAATGCATGGTCAAAATTCAACATTGAAGGCTAATAATTAAACAAACGGAGCTGAAATTTGATGATTTTTATATCGATGCAAACTACATCATAACCTCACGCTGGATAAGGGTCAATATTAGGGCAGCACCCAGTGGTAAACCAAATGATCATGGCACCATTACCGCTTTTAAAAATACTAATTCCAGAATATCGAACATGGAACAAAAACATTACCCTAGACAAAATTATGGGCGGACAGACTTTTGACAGCAACAAATAGGTAGGAAAATGCACTAGATCCAAACAGAGAGATGTGTCATACAAGTGTTACCACTATGAAGGAAGCAAATAGAAAAGAGGAGGAAATGTGTACAGAATATTCACAACACAAAGTCAAGTCTGTACTGATTCAAAACCTGGAAGCCACAGACGGAACCTTATTCCACACCACAATTTAGAATAATAAAAATATTTCCTCATACGTAGTTAGTTTTGGAACAAGCAGGACTGCATAGTACAATGAAGGCATCTGATCAGAGCTATATAAACTGCTAACATTCAAATGTCTTCTATAAAGGAACATACAACACAGGACCTTGCAAGTTTCGAAAATAGATGGTGTGGAACCACAAATGCAACAAGAACAACTTTTCTCACATAATTTAAATGGCATGTTTGGTTAGTGCAGACTCATACTCATATAGGCCTGTTCACAAAAAAGAAAAAAGCAAAAAAAAAAAAGAGAGAATCACACATTTGGAACTGTTGATAGCTATAACAAACTAATCTAAACATTTACAGGAAGGACTTGGGCCGACAAATATATACAAATACTGATTTTGAAAGGCTTCCATGTGCATCATGTGGATGCAGCTGCCAGGGTACTGTTGGCTCACACATGCCTAAAAAAAAAAGTGTCAATATAACTAATCTAAATATGGATGATGGGAAATTAACTAAACATTTTTGCATGAAAAGATAATACGATGTCGAAGAAGGCCATCTGGATGCCCCGACACTTCTCTGGCAGTGAAGCTAAATGATTAGCGTCTAAAGCGGCAGCTGGCTTTCCGGCGCCCGGCCGAGGCAGACTGTGCCAGGCTACGCTGTGCTTGCTGCTTTCCCTACGTCCCTGTGGCTGGTTTCCGACACGCTTCATTTCAGGTCCCCCAAAAACCTCTGACCTTTTGAAGAGGCTGAAAATATCGTGAATGGGCAAAGAGAGCGAGATAGCCAAGATAAACATTCAATGCCATATCAGGGAAAAGCTTATCTGGGAACCTAAAAAGAAAAGATATGTATTTTTTAATTTTTCATTTTAGAGCTACTGGGCATGAGCTGAGTTTTGTAGCGATAACATTCATGCGGCACGAAAGCTAACACACAATGCAAATATGGCAGACTAAAATGCGCAGTGTACCGATGCTGCGACGCCATAAATTCACGAGATCAGCAATAGCATTGTTGGCAGTTCGCAAATGAAACATTTTACTACCTATCGATCTTTATGTAAATGTCACACCGGAGATACATTTTTCAAGTTGGGGTTAAAGGTCACACCAATGACACCATTATCAAATGGAACGCTACGGCACGTGTGTACTTAATAAAGGTCAAACAGGCCAACCCCAAATCTGACTTCATCTGGCTCAGTGACAGGTTGCCAGCTACTGAATACTTACCACCGTCATGCCGACCACCAAAGGTGTGACAAAAAATATCGGTGCAATGTGGGTGCCCTGATGCATTTCGTGAAAGGAGGCGAAGAGATCGGTCCAGCACACGATCCATAATACCAGGGCGAAAATCTGCATACAACAGACACAAGGGAGCCGTTCATCTTTCTGCTCCCCCTTCATTTGATTTGCACATCTGAAGCCTGTCAGATGATGTGTACATGCAGACGGTCATTAACCGCATCATATTACAGTCTTATCAACCACAAAATATGGGCAAATCATTTTGGTATTTTGCCAGATGCATTTAATTTTATGGGAAAAAAAGAATATACATTAGTTAACAATGGGGGAAAAACAATCATGGATAATAAGAAAGAGAGACAGGAAGGACAGAAGAATAATATCAAGTTCATTTTTACCATTTTCACTCGGTTTAACAGTGACATCATGATGTATCCTTTGTTGTTTTTCTTGAGATACAGGAAGTAGAACGGAAAAGTGAGCCACAGATATATACAGGGAATCCATGACAAAACCGACATCTGAAAACATTCTGTAAGGTCGGGGGTGTCCCAGTACAGCGTCCGGTTAGAATCCTGCAGGGGAGAGGGGAGACAGTCAGGCACTGCTGGCATCAACGACAAAATACAACTTTGCCGAGATATATACTCTATTACCAAGAAATACAAACTAGTTTCACATTCAGGTTGACAAAGCTGCATACACTGAATACTGTATAGTTTAAGAAACTTCACATACGTGATATACAAAGTGGTCTTACACTGAGCACTCCAATTAAAGATGATAAATATCCTTATAAATATATTGCAATAGCAATGCCAAGAACAGCTAATGAGGGCTAATCCAAAAATAAATCTGAACGTAAAACAGCATCAGTGCTTAAGTTTACATATCCAGGTTCACACTGACTTCAGGCCCACCCACACAAGGTGATATAAAAAAATAGATTAACCTATTTTTGCAATATGAAAATGCCTAAGAGTGTGCATGCACATTTTATCTCAAAATCTATTTATTAACCAGGCCAGTTATTCTGCTATACGGCTAATATCAAACAGAACCACAATGATCAGAACTGTCATTTTCAAACATTTAAAGGTTAATCTACAATGCTGTCATACAGGGCCAGTGTCAATTCCCCCCCCCCACACACTTTTTTTTCCAATTTTCATTAAAGAACACTTAGATCAAAGGGTCACTCACGCCGGATAAAGCCAATTAAACAAAAAACATTCAGACGCAGACCTCAGACTCAGCCTGCAGCAGCCATTGAATGATTTTCATAATGAATTTGAAAAAGGGAACCAAGAGTTTCCCCTGTGACCACCGCCTTAAACAAACACAATAAACAAACATAAAGAAAAAAATGGGTGGGTTTCAGTTTAACTTCAGGAATATGTTCTGCCACCAGTTTACTGTATATAGACCACAGATTGATTGATATGTTGTTGCACAAGCTGCTTAAGCATTTTCTACAATAATAGAACCAAATACAATACAATACAATACAATACAATACAATACAATACAATACAATAGCACCAAACAACAGGCTTGACAAACAGCCACTGCTATGGCAGCTACTGAAATCAGCTACTTATTATGCCAAAAACCATAGATAGAATAATTCATGCTGGAAGGAGAATGAATGAATAAATGTTTATATTATACCATGGTGTTGAGCAAAAAGGCATTGTTCCACAGTGAGCAAATTGTGAAAAACACAAACCGCCCCAATTTCATTGTCGTAATGTGCACGTACACAGATGTACGATTGAACCATCGGAGCTGCTGCGAGAAACTTGACCTCATTGCGGATTACAATAACCTCAAAAGTCTTCCTTAACGCTCATGATGGGATAAGCCAATGGTTCTCAAACTTATTGTACCACAATGGGGGTGGGAGGTGGGGGGGGCGGGGTGATGTAAATATTCTCCACCATGGGGATGTACCCTTGCCACGTACCCCCGTTAAGACTACAGCTGGATCTATACCAGAATTCAGACTCCGATACTGGTACCAGCTTTGGTACCTCAATAACAATACCCAATCAATACTAAACCGATAACGTAAAACATTCCCATTTCAATATTATATTGTTTTAAAATATGCAGGAGTATTTATGAGTTACACCAACAGCCTATAATGTAGTTTTAGCAATATCAGTGAAATACACAGATTCTGATATTAATTTAGCCTCAGCCGTTACAAAACCTCTCCAATTATAGGGTAACGTTGGGTTTATATTTGCGTTTCTTCTGTTTGTCTTTCCGCTAACCCTACTTTTCATCAACAGGATATGAATAAACTCTCATGTAGGCCACTTTAAACAGAAACACGAAAAGGAAAAGCACCTGAATTACATCACTATCAAGTGATCATGCACACCTGACGATCTTTAAACTCTGTATTAAACTTTAAACTTCACATATAAATCAGGGTGAGTGAGAGCCCGGTTGTACAGCGTTCGCATACTGGAGCAGTCGGCTTTGCAGGAGTTCACACTTTTAAAATAACACAATATCTCACTTCTACCACCCTGTTTATCAACTAGAGATGGGCAGTTGCCAACAGTGATTTCCAGCTTACATCTAAGTAGCTTCTTCACACAAGGCACATGTGAAATGAGTGTGACTGATTCTCTCCCTAAAGTCCATCTACACCAAGTGGTGCTGGACTAAAGCCAGGAAGATAATGAAAGACCTCAGCCATCCCAACAATGGACTCTTCTTGTTGAGGTCAGGGAAGCGTCTTCGCTCCCTCAAGGCCAACACAGAGAGAATGAGCAGGAGCCTCTTCCCTCCGGATGTTCGGGTTCTGAGCCAGAACACCAGCTAGGACTGGACTTGGATCACCCCCCCCACCACCACTCCCCCCTTCCCACACACACACACACACACACACAGCACTTTACACCAATAATAATAATTGGACATTGTTGCTGCTAATTACACATTTTATTCTATTTGTACATATTCTATTTTTATTCTCAACTCTCTTTATATTCTATATTTTTATCTCTATATTCTATTATTATTACAGTTTATATTTTAGCTTTACATTTTGTTTTACTACATTTCATTCTTATATTCTATTTTTATTTTTGTATTCAATTTTATTCTTAATAGGTCGGGCACAACAAATACATTTCTCTGCATGTCGTACTATGTATGATTGCATATGTGACAAATAAAATTTGAATTTGTAATGTTTCACCCACCATCTAAACCCCGGTGATGATTGCGCAAGTGCCATATAATCCTGATTACATCTTGACGTGAACGCAACGGCCCTAATTATGACTAAAGCTTACACTGACACCTTACCTTCTACTTCCTGCCCGCAGGGAAGAAGTTGGTGCTGAGGCCAGGAAAGTTACGTACACAATCTCACGCAACTAAGTCCGAAAACTACTTTGCCTGTTCCAGATGTTGAGTAGGAATTTCATGTTTCTTTTTTTGGAGACACTATAAAATATACATAAAAATGCATACAAAGGCAAACAAACATCCACATGTGCCAATTGCAGGAAATATGTCATTTTTAATTTTTTTTAAGAAAATACAAAATAAAACAGAAAAGACCCTGACATGAGCTGTTCCTGCATGAAATATGTTAAAATAGGACATTCACACCAAGACTCAATTAGCTCAACACTCCAGGCAGTAATAGTGTAAGCCCATGACTGAGACAGTCTCAGAACAATGAGGAGAAATCATTAAAACAGAGTTACTTCAGGTTAAAGTGACGTCTAATAAGACCTTTCAGAAAAGCAGTTTTTCGCTCCCTTGTTCCTCATCTCAAATTCTTCTTCCCATTGTAAAACAGAGCCCCCCCCCCACCCCTTAAATGAAGCCTGCTCTTTACAGAATTGTTTTGCTTCCCTGTGCTGGCTGTAATACAATATCCTGAGTACGGGCTGTACAGGACAATCAGTTTCACCTTTCCCTCATCCTTATGTATGGCAGAGTACATAGTTAGGCATGCTGTATGTACAATGTGATGGGGTCTTGGACACACACAAAAACACATACAAAGACTACATTAGGATAGTCATAAATTTGTTTTAAACAACGTAACAAGAACATTGTAACTATTTTGCATCTCAGTCCATAAATGATTTTACGACGCTAGCTATGTCATGCAATTTTTATCAAGAACACCAAAATGAGCAGCCCACAAATGTAACCTAAAGTATGCTACAGGCAGTACAATGTCACTATCACAGACTTCGTAATGTTGTTTGCTAATAACTTACATAGTAGGAATCATGCAACTGGATCCAAGTTGCTAACCAGCACTTTTGGGAAATGTACCCCTGAATTTTGAAGATTTACCATCTCAGCACACTAATAATAAATAAACTTACATGAATATCTATCAGTATATATTTTTTTCCTCGCCAGATGCACTTGGGGAAACTGCGTACACATGCACCTCGACACAGGAAATATATGATGCATGTTGTGCAGTTACTTGAACGTTGGCTGGTGTATCTTAAGTTTGGAGGCGTAGTTTAGACGTACACGACAATCTAGAATTTGTGAATCAACCCGTTTTACCACCTCCTTTTACATAAACCGGATTTATATTTGAAAGAGGGAACAGTGTTTGGGATTCATGGTGTGTAAGTTATAGAGTTAAAGCTATAGCTATAGAGTTAAAGTCAGATTTTCATTCTATGGAACTTTTAAGCTACACTGTACCACAAGGTGTTGGTAGGGTGAGGGAAAAATGTTTCAATTCCTGTTCAAGCTAAGTAATAGCAAGTATAAAATTAGCAACATTAGAACCACTGGTGCCCTGAATTTCAACTTCCATAAGCTGTCATCAGAACAGTTTCCCCAGCTGAAATAAGGAGAAGGCTGTTTGGCTGGCAGCTGAAGCAGCATGGATGAATCTGCAAGAACCACACCTGCTTTGGCATGTTTTAACTTACAAGTTTGTTTTGCGCAGAGAGAAGTTCGCACAACGGCTGCTGTAATCGTGTTATTTCGCAATCGGACTGCAGTGACATCACCTGACCCAAAATGCTATTGCCCATGACACTGGGGGCAAGCTTCTGACAACACATGTGGCAAAATCAATTTACATCAATACGTCTAAAGTGTCACTTCTAAAGTGAAACTGGGGAACAAAATGCTTTCAAGATGACTGTTGTCATTTACAAATTGGAGCAGCATGAGATTATATATAAAGATATTCAGCAGGCACTTCACCACAGCCAAATACAATCTTTGTTAGATTCAACTCCTCAGCAGCAATAGCCCCCTCCCTTCAAACCACTTCATACGCAAGTTCTCATGATTTAGTTTCTTCAGCATTTCTGCTTACAGCTCTGAGGCATGACTCAACGTACACCACTATGGGACGGCCAGGTTGGAGTAAAATCAGTGCATCAAAGAGGGCCACACGGTCCAGCCCCACCCTCCGGAATGGCTGTCTATCTACCGCAGCCAGGTGTCACGTGGGCGTCCCCATAGCCTGTTCCAGCTGCTCAGGTCCTCAGCAATAAAGATCCTGCAAGCCAGCTCACCCTCAGGGAATCGCGCCGCATGATTGTAGTGCCATAAC